CGACTAGCGCCTTGAAGCATATCCAGAGACCAATAGGCAGCCAGTGCAGCTCGCGGAGGATAGGTGTAACATGGGTGTACCGAGGCGCACCCAGAATCACTCGCAATTATCTAGGTAACATCATCAGTGCTGGTGCTAGGTATAAGACTCTTATAAAAAAGAACTGATCTTTGCAAGAACCAGGAAAGGGCACTGCCAAGAAAGAGGGATTGATACAGTATTTAAAATATTTCAGATTTGGGAGGATGCACTATTAGTGAAATTTAGTATTAAACTTTTCCCTCTTTCATTCTATAGATGAGCGTCTTCCTCTATGTCCTGGCCACCAAGGCCACTTGTGCAGCTCAACAGCAAGGTTTTGAGAAGAAGGGGACAGTGTGAGTCTGGCATTGTTCATGCACAACTACCCTTTTCAATGATTATGAGCTTTTAACTATTCTTCCATATCCCTGCAGCATGATTTCTACTTTTTTGATCCTATGTGCCTTTCCTCTGAGTTATCACCTTTGTTATTGTCTCCACCTTATTTTACCCTACTAAGTTATTCTGTCTCCTGCTTTCCATTTTCTGACTTAGCATTGATGTATCCCAGTAGTCAATGCTTCCAATATTTTTGTTGGAATTGTGGGACCAGTCCTATATAGGTGCAAAACTAGGTAGTATTTGCAAAGTCAATGGAGGCCATGTCCCAGAGTCAGTCAAGAGAATCAAGTTTATTCATATTCTACCCATGAGACTTGGGGGTTGTTGCCCACACTGACTGTACTCTTTCTCTACTATAGCTCTGGTCTACGGTCGGGCTTCATCTCTCTGCTGATCATGAGTGTCACCTGGTTGCTGGCTCTGCTGTCTATCAACAGTGATGCCATCCTCTTCCACTATCTCTTTGTGGGCTTCAACTGCTTCCAGGTAACTTGGATATATCAGGACATAGCACAATAGCACACATTGGAATGGAATTTTCCCAGGCCAGTCAGCATTTGCTCAATAATATTGAGCTGTTATCAATTCCCCCAGTTCAATTTTGTTTCCACCATTTTCCCTTTTCTCCAAGAACTCGTTTATCTCAATTTCATACAGTAATAGAAATTGAAGAACCAGACCAAAATTGATATATATATATATATATATATATATATATATATATTTGGAATTTCATGTGGCTTTTTGAGTACGATTGACCTCTGTTTGGCAATTGGAGCAGGGCACATGCAGATTTCATTGATCATGAGCCTGTATTAGACACATCAAGCGCTTTCCTATTAGCAAGGGAAGAAGAACTAGTTTTTTCAATGGGTTGGAATCTTTTAAAAGAT